AAACACGTTCGAAAACCCATTTGAAAATCTTTAAAGATTTGCACTAGAATTTTCGGACCCTTGTAGTGTTTCCAAAAATACCCTCTTGGTTTCCGAGCATTCAGAAACACTCTGATACCCTACATTACCCATTTGAACACTCCTAAAGTATTTTGGAATACCATCTTCGTGATATCGGAAATCCAATCGTATGTTCAGAAACCTTTGGGGTATTGTAGGAAACTGATATTGCTAGAAAATTGAATAGGTATCCGTTGGGATATGGGAAAAAACCTTTTACAGTTTCCGAAATGTTTCCACAGAAAACAAAGAGGTTCTCCAGAATTCTCTGTCTCCAAAAAGTATGGCAGAGAACCAAAATCCGTTTCCGAAGTTCTCATGGATACACCGAGTGTATCCAAAATTTCGGATGTATTCAGAATGCTCCACAGCGACGTACTAATAATCGATCCAAAATTTCTTCAAAAGCAAAATCTTACTGTTTAGGGTGGGGTGTGGGTGTGGGCGTGAATGTAAATATTAGTAGAGTTATTGAGTTGACTCAGATCCACACCCACACCCTTATTGAATCAAATAGAATCTATTGATTTCTGTGAGAGTACATCATTTTGCATTGACTGTAATGAGCGAGAAATCGTGATGTTTCTTCGTCTACATTCATTGATATCACTCAAAAAAAAGAAAAGTAACTATAAAAATATAATTTTTATTTATTGAAATATTTTAAAAGAAAGAAAATTCATTGTACTTAGTTGATAACTTCGTTGAATGAGTACAATATTACCAGGAAAAAACCTATTTACTATCTTAAACATAGAAATATATGCAACATCATAATGCAAACTACTTTAACATTAGAATCCACGAGGAAATAACTAGAAAAATAACATTTTTATGATAGTAACTATGCTAGATATATATACATGTTACGGTCAAAATTGGAATTTGGTCAAATTCTAAATTTGTCTAGACAAAATTGGAATTCTAATTTTGACCAGACAAAATCAGAATTTTATTTTCATGAACTGTAAAACTGAGAAAAAAAGCAATACTACGAATACGAGTGGAATCAAAAATGATGGTGAAGACGAGAGACAAGTCTGAGTAAGAGTGAAGAGGTCTGAGTCTATATCCCGATGTTGCGAGTGAAATTAGAGTGAATAATCGCGTAAAATGTTAGTCTTACTCAAAGATTCATCCTTACTAAGACATTTTTCACTCTCATCAAGGCTACCCGCGGCGATCTTACTTAAAACCTTCTTCCTGACTCTCATCACCATCCTTGACCTCATTCATGTTTTAGGTATTGATTTTTGCTTAGTTCTATAATTCATCAAAATAAAATTCTAATTTTGTCCAGTCAAAATTAGAATTCCAATTTTGTCCAGACGAATTTAGAATTTGACCAGATTCCAATTTTGACCGTAACATACATATTCGTTTTATCTATGTCCAACTTCAGATACATGATACGAAGCCTACTGAATTTTCCAGAAGAATTCATCTAAATTTGGATTTAATTATCTCATCTTGATGAAATATAATCTCTAAAATTTGGATGCATTTGATTTTATTAGCTTCTCAGTTATATTTATTTGTCTGGACTACCCAAGGAAAAATTTTTTTCGAAAAACCGCTCAAAACCGCGATTTTTTTCATTCGACCGCGGTTTTACTAGAGGAAACCGCGGTTTGGATTGGATAACCGCGGTTGGTAGCGGTTTTTTTGAACCGCGGTTTTCTGAAACCGCGTTGCTCGTATTCATGATCGCGGTTCTAAATACCGCGGTATTCAACGGTCTAAAAAGTCGCGGTATGGTAATTGGAAGCCGCGGTATTTCATAGCACGGTATTCAACGGTTTTCAAAACCGCGGTATAGTCATCAGTAACCGAGATGATAAATACCGCAGTATTGAGTGGTTTTTTAAACTGCGCTATATTCATCGGTAACCGTGGTGGTAAGTAGGGTGGTACTACGTGGTTTCAAAAATTGCGATATAGTCATTAGTTATTGCCGTAATAAATACCGCAGTATTCAGTGGTTTCAGAAACCGCGGTATACTCATCAATACTCGCGGTGGTAAACATCGCGGTATTGAGTGGTTTTCAAAAATGCGGTATAGTCACCCATAGCCGTGGTGGTAAATACCGCGGCATTGAACGGTTTCTAAAACCGCGGTACAGTCATCAGTAATTACGGTGATAAACACCGCGGTATCTAGCGGTTTCTAAAACAGCTGTATAGTCATCACTAGTCGCGGTGGTTAATAAGGGCGGTATTGAGCGATTTCAAAAACTGCGGTATAGTCATTATTTATTGCGGTAATAAATACCGCGATATTCAGCGGTTTCTAAAACCGCGGTGTAGCCATCAGTAACCGCCGTGATAAATAATATGGTATTCAATGGTTTATAAAACCGCGGTGTGGGTGTGGGTGTGGGTGGGTGTGGGTGGGGGGGGGTGTGGGTGGGTGGGGGGGGGGGGGGGGTGGGTGGGGTGTGGGTTTGGGTGTGGGGTGGGTGTGGATGTGGATGTGGGGTAGATGTGGGTGGGGATGTGGGTGGGGATGTGGGTGTAGGTGTGGGTATGGGTGTGGGTGTGGGGTATAAGCGTCGGTCTTCTCTTGATACATACTCATAACCATACCCACACACCCACACCCACACCCCACACCCCACACCCCACACCCCACCCCACACCCACACCCACACCCACACCCACACCCACACCCACA